GGTATAATTGGTCTCCTTGCTTCTCTCAGTCTGATTCACTTCCCTCGCTGATTAGAATAGATACATTTATTTGTTACATGTACTAAGTATAGGAGTACATAAGTGCAGTGAAAAGTGCACAAAGTCGCCATTCACTGGCACCCATTTGGTTACAAAAACCAGACTTAAAAGATTTTAACAGAGCCAAAAGGTAAGCAAGAAAAAGAAATGTTCAGATCTCAGAGTCCCAAGACCCATCTCCACAATGGTGCAGGCGCCACTCCAATCACTAGGGCTCACTGGAGGGCGCCACCGCCACCATGTGAAAGGCCCCCTCTCACCAACGGCCCCGCTCTCACCGTCACTGCCTCACCGACCCACTCTCACCACCGTCACTGCCTCAACGGCCCCACTCTCACTGTCACTGCCTCAACGGCCCCGCTCTCACCGTCACTGCCTCACCGGCTCCACTCTCACCATCACTGCCTCACCATCCCGCTCTCACCACCGTCACCGCCTCACCATCCTGCTCTCACCACCGTCACTGTCTCAGCGGCACCCCTCTCACTGTCACTGCCTCACCGGCCCCACTCTCACCGTCACTGCCTCACCAGCCCCACTCCCACTGTCACTGCCTCACCCGCCCCGCTTTCACCGTCACCGCCTCACCGGCCCTGCTCTCACCGTCACCGCCTCAACGGCCCTGCTCTCACTGTCACTGCCTCACCGGCCCCGCTCTCACTGTCACTGCCTCACCGGCCCTGCTCTCACCGTCACTACCTCACCAGCCCCACTCCCACCGTCACTGCCTCACCCGCCCCGCTCTCACCATCACCGCCTCACCGGCCCCGCTCTCACTGTCACCGCCTCACCGGCCTGCTCTTGCTGTCACTGCCTCACTGGCCTCGCTCTCACCGTCATGGCCTTCCTGGCCCCGGTCTCGCCTCACCGCCTCACCGGCCCCGCTCTCACCGCCGTCACTGCCTCACCGGCCCCGCTCTCACCGTCACTGCCTCACCACCCTCACTCTCGATCCACCGTCACTGCAGGACATGGCCCACATGTTCTGTTCCCGCCACGCGGTTCCCGGTTGCGACCTGACTCCTTTGTAACTCCTTCAGTAGATAGTTAGAAGGGTGAGGGGTGGGGGCGGCGGTGGGGATAGAATTACTGCAGCGAGGAGCGAGAAGAAGAAGCAGGGAAAAGGAAAGGGAACTGGCGGGCAGAATGGAGCTCCGAACAGAGTCACTTACCCTGCTGCCATCTTGCCAGACTCTGTTGAACTGCATCCGAACAATTCAGAGGCTCATTGCTATGCTGAGCTCTCCTGAATGCATAACAAATGATGCCAATTGAGAAGCCAATCAAAAGATGTCTCTGGGCAAAATTACCCTGGACATACCCAACGGTGTAAATGTATCTGGACTCAAGGTGCTCCAAAAAGTAAGGGGCTCTTATGGTGTAGTGATAGTGTCCCTACCTCTGAACTAGGAAGCCGGGCTCCAAGTTCCATCTGCTTCAGAGGTGTGTAATAACTGAACAGGATGATGAGAAAATATCTGCCCCCAAAAAGTCATGTTGTTTTATATGTACCAGTTAACTTCACTTGTTTTCCCAAAGATGCAAATAACTTCCTATCCTTTCTCTCTTTATTTAAAGCAGTGTCCATTTTTCTCATTTTTAGCCCATAGCAAAAGACTAATCATAGAATCACCACAGTGCAGAAAGAGGCCATTTGGCCCTTTGAGTCTGCACCAACCCTCCCAAAAGCATCCCACCCAGACCTAGTCACTACCCCATCCTCAATATTTACCATGGCTAATCCATCTAGCCTGCACACTATGGGGCAATTTAGCACGGCCAATCCACCCTAACCCGCACATCTTTGGGCTGAGGAGGAAACCAGACCAACCTACAAGGTGAGAATGTGCAAACTCCATACAGACAGTCTCCCAAGGCTGGAATCAAACCCAATTCTCTGGCGCTGTGAGGCAGCAGTGCTGCCCACTGAACCACTGTGGTACCCTAATGTTGTCCCTTACACTAGCATTTTTATTTTTCATGCCAGATTTTATTAATTGAACTTAAACAACACCAGCTACCATGATGGGATTTGAACCCATGCTCCCTAAGTGCTGGCTAGGGCCCTCAATGTTACCACTACACCTCCATCTCCCATTGACATAATGGATTCCTAATTCTGTTGTGAACCTCTTAAACTCTGTGCTCATAAGTTATGGATTATTGTCTGAAACCATCTGGGAACCTATGTGGAAAATATTTACTTCAGTGCTTTAACGATTGACTCAGACATATAAATATGAAGTCCAGAAACATCCATCTATCTAGAACGGAAATCTACAAGTATCAAATATGCTTTCCTTAGAAAGTTTAATGTGTCTAATCCCAATCTTTGACAAGACCTGACCGGGAAGTTAGAAGATATTAAGGGCTCCACTGGTGTCTGTCTATTAACTGCACATCTGTCGCAAACTGACATTAACTTCTCAATTTCTTTTGAAAGTCCTGGCAACCGTACAAACTGATGCATAGGAATTCTTCACGCATTTATTCCAAAGTACCCTTTGTGAATTCTTCTTGGGATTTCTTCTCTCATGAGTTTTTGGCATTGTCAGACTGTGACTTAAAAAAAAACTAACAAGTCATCTAATACGGTCAAGTGCTGCCATTGTTCGTGATATTTGTTTAAAAGCTAGTTTGTTGGACTGCACTTCAACCAATCGGTCTCAACAGAATTTTTTTAAGTTGCCTGCATTCTACATCTGTGTTTTGAACTCACAAATTTCCTGTAGTTCCTCTAAGAATAGAATTTGTACTACAGTTAAAAATGGCTCTGAATTTTCCTTCAGGACTAAATCTTCAGCACGATCCGTTGTTGCTTTGAATAGTGCATCAGCTGTAATCTGTAACTGCCCTGGGAAATAGACTGTCGAATAGTCACAGCTCATCAATCTGAGTCTGAACTTTTGAATTCTTTGTGGCATTTTGACTTCTTCCTTGGAATCTAATATTGTGGTTTGTGGTTTCTTTCCAATTGAAACTTCAATCCCACCAGGCAACCTGAGAAACATTCACATCCTCAAGTAGCTGCTAAAGCCTCTTCATCTATAGTTGCATAGCATTGGTCTGTTTCTGTTAGCACCTTAGATGGAAAGTAGATTGGCTTCCTACTCACATCATCCTTATCCTGAATGAGTATTTTGCCTTATTCTAAAGAAGATGCAACTGCAGCCACTAACTGTGGGCAATCTGGGATTGTAATGAGTTAGTGAATGAAAAAAAAAGTAATTTGTTTTTTAATTTCCTTAATGCAGTGCTCTGCTCCAAATTCCAAACTCATAGAGTCATAGAGATGTACAGCACGGAAACAGACCCTTCAGTCCAACTCGCCCATGCCGACCAGATATCCTAAGTTGATCTAATGCCATCAAGTTGATATTTGCACAAAAGATCTCTTAAAGGTTGTAGTCATCGCCAAATTTAGAATGAATTTCTCCACAGGCTGACCATTCTGAAAATATGTTAAATGCCGTAGACGTTGGCTGGCTGTGGGAACTCTCTATTGCATTCATCTTCCTCTGGCCTACCGGGAATTCTTTCTCTTGTATGGCTTGGCCCAAGAATGTAATTCATATTTTTGCAATTTGACACTTCTCATTGAGCATGAGGCCTGCACTCTGCGGAGCCTTCACAAGTTCTGTGATTATGATCCTTTTCTGTAGTGCTGAGTACAACGTATGACAGAATGCTCCTCGTTTCCCTCCGAGGATTTGAAACGTTGCTCACGGAAATATTTCTGGTGTTGACCAAATTCCAAATGTAGGTGATTCAAGCTAAGTTACCTGGACGACACGGCGTGATGCAAGTGGTTAATAATTTTGACTCCTCGTATAGGGACATTTGCCAAAAGCTGTTTGTAACTAGAATATACTCGTGATAAGTTTAGTCAAGTTTTCATTCACTGATAAAATCAAGTAGACTTCTTGCTGGACCATTTTGTTCCGTTGTCTGGTGTCAACACATAAGCAGAGCTCCCCACCGAAGTTGTGAGCTGATACCAGCCCTGAGCCTACTTTGAGGGCTCCTCACAGCTGACATTCCTCCACTCTGATGCAGGTTCTCAAACTGTGTCTTCACTTTCTCCAGCAGTGGGTGCGGAGCCCTCCTGAAAGTGTACTTTTTCTAGGCAACCTTAAACAATGCCACGTGATATTCTTGCTTGACGTCACCCAGTCCTTGGTGAAGGAATTCTTCACAAAAGAATGGGCTTGAAATTTATAGTTGTTTCCTCTACATCTTTGTCTCACGTGGTTGTTGTCAGCTTTAGACCCTTAAGAAGGTCCATGATGTTTGACATGCAAACCTGATGCTTTCTGATGTTGGGATTGCTGTTTCCACAGTTGCCATTGTTAGCCTCCCTGTGAGATTTCTGCATGGTGGCTGTGGGAATGGGAGTGAATCAGCTGGTATCCTTTCAGGTTCCAGTATATCACTTACCTAGGTAAGTCTTCCAACTATTTTTGTTTTACTTTTGCTGGAGTCTTCCGATTTTAATCTTTGCTCTGTTAAGTTTTCCTCTTGTTCCCTTTTGCCACTCCTTGTAGATTTTCGAATATGATATAATCCACAGGCAGAATTGAAGTTTCTCTAGCTGTCACCATGGTTTGAGTTGACTCCATGATTGCACTGACACTATGAAGGTCTGGCTTCTGTCCTGTACTGTAGAGACTGCTCTCTTACTCTGGGTTGTTCCTACTTGGAGTCTGCTAATCTCTGACTCTACCTTATCTTCCAGAACTGTTGGCTGACTTCGGGAATTCCAACAAACTTGTTTCTTACATTCTAATGAACACTATTTTTATATTCGTACTAGATCTTTGTGTTATAGCTCTCTATACAGTTCTTCTCAGAGTCTCAATAGTATGTAACTGTTGGCATTAGTGTTACGTTATCATATACATGATCATATCACTAACAAATGCATTCTCATTATACTATAGGAAACATCACAGCTTTAGAAGAAACTGTTGGAGGACCTTTGCTGAGTTGCTGTAGTACAGCTTATGGATGACATTCACTGCTTCCATAGTGGGCCACTGGCGGAGAGGATGAATGTTCAAGGTTTGTGGTTTGGATGCCGATCAAGCAGATTACTTTGACCTGATGGTCTCAGGCTTCTGGAGTGATGTTGGAGCTCCGCTGATCCAAGCAAGTAGAGAGTATTCCATCATGTTTGATTTGTCACTTCAACCATCATTCATCTGGAAAAGTGTGACACAAATGAGTATTCAACGTAAGTGCGTGTGTGCATTTCTATGCACTGAGGGGACCGTTCAAAAAAAATCTCATTTTTGCTGAATAATTTGCTATACTAATTTGAAGTGAATTTTCCAATGCAGCTCATCCCTTCTGTCCCATTTTTACTCACAAGAAACCTTATTGAAATTATACGTTCCCTTTTATTCTCCTGCCCTGGCAACTGTTTCAAGGACTAAACCTAAAATGACAGATTTTAACATTGATTTTCTCTTCTAAAGCTAGTAATAATTTTTTTGAAGTAAGAACTTGACTTAAAGACCCTTCAAGTTGTCTGTAATATTTGAAATGTATGGCATTTACAACTCCTAATACTCTGAGAATCAATCACCAGCCCTGAGCTGCAATGGGATTTATGTGGGTTTACAGAATAATGTGCAAACTGCTTTTGAATAATTGTGTTGATAAAGACAGATACAGATTGAAATCCGGATATATGCAGGAGGTACCCCTATTGTTGTGAATGCTCTACCTAATTTGGGAGCATTTATTTTTCTCTGGAGCTGCAACATTTTGTGTCAAACCTATTTTCTCCCTAAGTGGAAGTTGGGTTATTTCTAGAATTACATCCATTAAAGGCATGGGTTTTCTCTAAATGCACTGGCGAGCTGTCTTTCTCCTGGTTTAAATTTTAATGCATTCTGCTAAGGTTTGCAATTTGATGTTGCCTCTCTGTTGGATTAGATGCTGGTGTGTGTTGTTCCTCTTTGGAGCCAAGTAATGATGAGGTGTTACTGATGAACCCAGGAAACCAACATCATTTTGACATTACAAGTTGAAATGTAACCACACACATATTTAGAATCTATGGTGGATTGGAACAGAACCAGTAGTCTCAAGAGTATATTTGAGATGAGCAAAGTGGAAACCTGCATCTAACATTGTGTTCTTGTCAACTGAATTTATTGTAATATTTCTGCTACTATTCCAGATTGAGGAACTTTGATCAATCCTTCTGAGTAACGAATCTTCCACTGACTGAATTCTTCTTCCTTGAAAATTAATGACGAACTTGCTTAAATGAATATTGGTGCTGAAATCATGGTTATGCTGTCCATATATGAAATACATGGACACAATCTAACATACATTTCATGTCACACACGCACATTTTACTTTTTTTAATGTAACCTATTTTCGTAAGCAACCTGCTCAGAGTTGTCATCGCACATGTCTGGAGCAGGTGGGACTTGAACCTGGGCCTCCTGGTCCAGGGGTAGGGACACAACCACTGAACCACAAGAGGGCTTGGTGGCCATGGGTAAGTAACAAGACGGAACTGAGGAGGTAGAGTAGCACTAGATGAAAAGAATTATTGATTATATGGGTGAGGAACACTGGGTGTGAAAAATCCATTTTGTGTTCACTTCAATTCTGGTGTTGCAGTCTTCCAAACTCACTAAGTGGTAAATCTCACAGTGTGTGGTCCAAGAAAGTGACTGTCTTCAGGTTGTTTGATAGGAGAGGACAATACAATGTCATGTTGCCCTGATCTGACATTCACATTGTAGGAGCCAGTGGGTAGGAATCAAATACAGGAACTTGGGGACATTTGTCCTTCTTAATAAAAGGGTTTTGTGCTTAATCTCCTATCCAGGGATCAGAAAGCGGATGATAATTGAACATTGTACCCTTAAATGTGGCAGAATCACAGAATTGTGATGGTCTAGGAGGAAGCCATGTATCTCATTGTATTTTCAGTGGCTCCCAGTAATTTTAATTTAGTGTCAATTTTTTACCTATAACTCTATATGTCACTTTTATGTAAATAATCATCCAATGCCCTCTTGAATGTCTTAATTAATCCTTCCTCCACAATCTTTTGGGCAGTGCATTCCATACTCTAACTACAGGCAGGTTAACAATGATTTACCTTCCCTGGATTAGCAGTAATAGACTATTTTATGTAGAGCAAACTGGGATTTTAATTTTTTTTGGCCAAGCTCAGTGATCCTATAAAAAATTAACATGGCAGTTGATGACAGCATCTGTTCATCAATTTATGCCAAGAGCATTAGTCTAGAATGTGATGAGGTAGCACTGGACATGGTGCTATTAGAAGTAGCTTATTCAGGAGGATACCTTTCCATGCAAAGAAAATTCTTTTTCCCTAAATGCCATTGATGCTGCATCAATTAAGATTTTCTAGAATGAGATTGGCAGATTGTTATTGGGTCAGGGAATCGATTGTAACCATTATTCCTGATCTCCAGCTTCCTCTCTGGTTGTGACTGGGTTTGAAAAAAAAGTGCTTGAAACCTTTGCATCCTATTAATCCATGAGCTGAACTTCAAACCTAATGGGCCAAATTTTATGGAGCATCCATGGACAGGAAAATGTGCCATACCTTCAGTCCACTCACCCCTTGCCATAGGCCGCTCTGGCAGTGTTGGGTGTGTCACCTCCCTGTGGTCTAATGAGGCCATTACATGGCTCACTCAATAGAGGCCCAATGAAGGGCTTCATTCCACTACCATCCCGATGAGGAATGGCAGATGGAGCTTAATATAGAGGCTGCATTTTGGAAAGGCAAATCAGGGCAGACTTATACACTTAATGGTAAGGTCCTGGGAAGTGTTGCTGGAATGCAGATTCACAGTTCCTTGGAGTCACAGGTAGATAGGATAGTAAAGATGGTGTTTGGTATGCTTGCCTCTATTGGTCAGTGCATTGAGTATAGGAGTTGGGAGGTCACGTTGTGGCTGTACAGGACATTGGTTAGGCCACTATTGGAACACTGCATGCAGTTCTGGTCTCCCTGCTATAGGAAGGATGTTGTGAAACTATAAAGGGTTCAGAAAAAATTTACAAGGATGTTGCCAGGGTTGGAGGGTTTGAGCTATTGGGAGAGGCTGAATAGACTCGGGCTATTTTCCCTGGAGCGTTGGAGGCCGAGGGGTGACCTCATAGAGGTTTATAAAATCATGAGGGGCATAGAGAGGGTAAATAGACAAGGCCTTTACCCCGGGATGGGGGAGTGAAAATCTAGTGGGCATAGGTTTAAGGCGAGAGGGGAAAGATTTAAAAGGGACCTGAGGGGCAACTTTTTCACACAGAGGGTGGTGCGTGTATGGAATGAGCTGTCAGTGGAAGTGGTGGAGGCTGGTACAATTACAACATTTAAAAGGCAAAAGTCACATGACACCAGGTTATAATCCAATAGATTTATTTGAAATCACAAGCTTTTGGAGTGCAGCCCCTTCATCAGGTGGCATGTCATTTAAATGTTTAAAAGACATCTGGATGGGTATATGAGTTGGAAGAGTTTAGAGAGATATGGGCCAAATGCTGGCAAATGGGACTAGATTAATATAGGATATCTGGTTGGCATGGATAAGTTGGACTGAAGGGTCTGTTTCCATGCTGTACGGCTCTATGACTTTGAGGAAGAGGTAGAGATGTCTGTGCCCAACCTGCAGCCTGGTGAATATAACTCCATGGGCTGCTGGTCAGTGAAAGCCTCCTTCCTGGCAATGGCAATCGAGAGACTCCCTTCCCACTGATTTGCTGCCTCCCTCCCTCCCCTGCTCCCAGCCCTGTCCAAAATGCAACTGTCAGGCAGTTGTTAGTCTGACTTTGGAGAGAGCTGAGCTTCAGCGGAATATTCAGACCTATTGTTGAACACCAACACCAGACCTACCTGCAGTGACCACTGCCCCTGCTTGGAAGTGCCAGTCTGCGGAATGCCAGCCAACGACTGCCCAGCAGCTCCATGAGACTGAACACCTTCCTGGACATGAAATTCTGCCTTGTACCAATTAAAGGGCCGTCACTTGAGATATTAAAGTGGGGTAAACTGGCTGAGTGGAGGCAGCTCCCTCACCCTAGACACCCTCCTCTGCTCCCTCAAATTTACTATGGGCTGCAGAGAGCCAGCTGAGTATAAAACTCAACCCCATGTCATCTCCCTCACTAAAATCCACCTCTGGAGCAATGGCTGTCTCCAACCTTTCTTCAACTCCAGACTCAACTATTTCATTTATCTCTTGGAGATACCTCCCACTAACATCTTCTGAAAACTTGAGGTTATTCAAAGATTCCCATTCTCCTATCTGAACTTGCAACAAATCATGATTACTCATCGAGCCTGTGAACAGTGCAGGCCATTGGTTCCCAGATGACAATTCCTCAAGTTTAAAACTCTCATTCTTGCTTCAATGGTTTCTCTCATCCATAACTCCATAATATCCCCCAGCTCTGCAATCTCTGATATATCTGTGCTCCTCTAATTATGGCAGCTGCCATTTTAATAGCACCCGAGGCCTTAAAGTATGTCTTTGGTAATCCACCCTACTATCTCCTCATGTCAATTGGTGTTATATTTAATTTGATAATGCTCCTGTGAAACATTTTGGGACATTTTAGTTTTGTACATTAGGACATTATAGGAATATGGTGTCATTGTCCCAGACCTTGGGGCTGGAACACTTTAAAAGTCTGGGTGGACAGTCTGTGGGTCAGAGCTGAAATGAAAACATCTATTCTAATGACTTTCTGGAAATTTAAACGAACAAGCAATGGAGCTATCAGAGTATTGACAAAATATTGGCACAGAAACAGGTCATTTAGTTCAACCACTCCATCCCAATGTTTATTTGACACTTGAGTCTCCTCCCATTTTTCTTCAAACTCTATCAGCATAACCCTCTGTTCTCTTGTCCTGCTTATGTAAATCTAATTTCCCACTACGTGCATCTAGACTGTAGCCTGAACTAATCCAAGACAGTGACTTGCACAGTGTCAATGAAGAAGTTCATTCTGAATTCACTACTTCATTTCTGTCTCTAGTTTTGCTATTTCCCACATGTGACAACACTCTCTCTGTGGCTACTCTGTCAAAACCTTTCATAATTTTAAAGAACACTACTCGGTCACCCCCTCCACCTTTGTTAGGAGATTCACTTTGTTCATTTTCTTTCTGGTAGATTTTGTGCAGTTTTGGTATCATCCTTGCAAGTCTTTTTTGCACCATGTCCAGTGCCTCTAAATTTTTTTTATGATTGGACAACCAGAGCTGGACATTGCAATTTAACCAAGGGTCAGTACAAATTTAACTTTTCCATCTTTCACCCCTTTCCCTTAAATCTTGGTGCGTGCCATTGTTCTGGCTTCCTTGACCTGCCTCTTAAGTTGTAATGATTTGGGTGTTCATACTGCCAGATTCCTTTCTGCATGTATTCCCATGGAATTCTAATTTCCCAAGTGGTAAGACTGATTGCACTGATGCAAAGTTTGAACATTTTATGGCAATGACAATGATTTCCTTCAGGGGATTATCATTGCAACACAGTGATCTTTTGTGGACTTTATTAGAGTCAAGTATGAGACTGATACCAAAGCCTATTGGGTGCACTGGGTAGTTTGGCTCTGGGATTCCCTCCTTTGCTTCAAAGCAGTTACTTTACAAAGGGAAGGAGGGGCCACAACCACTTTTAACTTTCTGGAATTTGGACTGTATTTTTAAATGGTGTAGAGCTCTGGCAGATGCAGAATTCATTCTAACATATGGTGGCCTGAGCAGCTCGATTGTGGCCCATTAGAATTCAGGGGCTATTTGTGCTTTTGTTTTCACCTTGTTCTGGGGAGTTGTCTGGCT